TAATAATAATAATATTGAAGACAATTAATAATATCAATAAAGAAGACAATTATTAATAAAAATAAATAATAACTCAAAAAATCCACAATCGAATGGGGTATTACACCATGCTTTGTGCTGTAAATATTTTTTCGGAATAGAATCGAACGATTCGACACCGGGTCGTGTCCCTCGAGGAAGGCTAGCCAGAATATTTTATGTGTTTATTCAATCACACGAAAGAGAAATAAAAATCCTAAACATACTATTTCAGATGATTGGTTTTAATTATCAACTACTGCAAGAATTAAAATAAAGCTAGTAAATAGCAAGCGAACATGTAGAATAAATAAGATTTAAGAAGCTAGGGAGTCAGGGATATCCGTTTCGGTTCGAAATGCAATTATCAAGCAAGAGATTGTTCGATTAAGTGATTTGAATAACCGGCACGTTCAAGTACTCATTCTCAATAACTATTAGTAACAAGAGATAAAAAATTAAAAGACAAGTTAACAAGTCATTTAACACCTACGCAATACAATTACGAACAAGCCTCTTTTATACGAGCCTATTTCGACCGACTCCTCCCCTTTCGGTTCTAAGAGTCGATGAAAAAGAACTAGAAGGTGGTTAATCAACTAGTCCGAAAAGAATTTAAATCATCAAGCAAGAATTTAGCAAATTCAACCAAACAATTGCAAGTTGAAGTGTCACCCTTCAACAATTCAAGCTAAATAATTGAAAAACCCTAGGAAGAGATCCACTCGCATAAATTGAAAAATCACGAACATGATAATCGCAGACAAATTCGAAACTTCAATCCCCTATTGCCTAGCATGTGAATTTAGCTACTCATAATCGAATCAACACAAGAATTCATCACAATCGAAGAATTCATAATTAACCATAAAATTTAAAAAAGAATCTTATGATTGACAAATCCCAACGTTGAATTCTATAAACAAGATTAATCCTGAAAACAGTAGCAAAATTCGATGCTAAATCCTTGTTTACAATGAAAAACGATGAAAGGAAGTGTAAAAGCGAGAAAAAGAGAAGAAAATATAGGGTTCGTGAGTGTTGTCTTGGCGTCCGAATAATAGTATCCTTCTGCTGGCGATCGATCAGTATTTATACATGCACGACGTCACGGCGCGGGACAGGCAGCACGACACGGCAGATTGTCTCTTCACGGCTCGGCCTACTCTCCTGACACGGCACGCAATGGACTCGCGGGGCGGCAGTATGCAGCGGCGCAACAGGAGCTTCTCTCACGGCGTGGGACTTCTTCGCGGCGCGGCGGAGAGAACCTGCACGGCGTGGCGGTCTTCACGGGAGCATGCTGGGAGAAGAAACAGCAGGTGCCGCGGCGCGACAGGCAGAC